TGCCCGCCGCTCGCACGCCCACGTGCCCGCCGCTCGCACGCCCACGTCCCCTCGGCTCGCACGCCCACGTCCCCGCCGCTCGCACGCCCACGTCCCCGCCGCTCGCACGCCCACGTCCCCTCGGCACAGGGGCGCCCGCTCACAAGCGGGTCGCTGGGCGCACGCCGACAGCGGGGCCTGCAGTCTAAACACGACCGCCGGGGCCAATCGGCGTCAAGGAGGCCGGCCCCGGGCCGCGGCTTCCCCGCCCGCCGGCGTTGCAGGAGGCCGCGGCGGGCGGACAATGGGGGAGGCCGACGGCCGAGGGCCAGGCCTCCTCGGCTGGCCGCCGCCGCCCGGGTCGGAGGGCACCGGGTGGCATCGCGGGGGCGGCGCCCCTCCACCCCCGCCCAAGTCCAGCCTCGACGAACCTTCGGGAAGGCGGGCGAGGTGGGGCGCATGCGCGGCGTCAGGGCCGGGCGGAAGTGCACGTCGCCGCGCCGCCGCCGCCGCGTGACGCACTTCCTGTTTGTTGTCGGAGAAAGGAGAGAAAGGAAAGCGCGAGGAGCCGCCGCCGCCGCCGCCGCCGCCAGCGCCGCCGTGCCGGAGTCGAAGGGACCCGGGCCGCCGCCCCGCCGCGCCTCTTGCTCGCCACCAGCTCCCTGTCCTCGGTGAGGGTCTCCCGCGGGCGGGGGTCGGGCCTCGGGCCGGCGTGGGGCCGGGAGTCGGCTCGGGCCGGAGGTCGGGGACTTGAGGCCTGCCGTGGGGCTGGGGTTTCGGGGGTGGGCGTCGGGCTGGCGCGTCTGCCGGTGGCCGGGGGTCCGGGGTGGGGCCAGGGCGGTCGTCAGGCGGGGGCCGCAGGGGCTGCGGCCGCGGGTGGACGTCGGGTCGCGGGGGGCCTGCGGGTTCCCGGGACCGGCGGCTAGGCCGGGGGGTCGGGGTGGGCGTCGGGCTGGGGCGCACGGGGGCCCGGAGCGGGGCCGGGGGCTCCGGGAGTCGGGGGCGCCGTTCGCCCTTGGCCCGCCTCGCGCCGGCGGTTGGGCCCGTGCAGAGCGCGGGCGGCAGGCGCGGGCCGGGGCTCGGCAGCGGCGGGGGCCCCGCGGCGGGAGGGCCTGTTTTTTACCTTTTTTTAAAGCCCCACGTGGATGAGTCTAGAGCCAGGAACGAGGTAGGTTTTCAGAAAGAGTAGAAGCCTCGCAGGAGGCCGCGCCCCGAAGCACGGAGACCGGGAAGCGGCTCCAGGAGACGCGAAGCCGCGTTCCCGGAACTTCCAGGGATTTTTCAGAAGTTTGTTGTTGAGCAGAATGCCTAATTTCAGCTGAAAAAGCCAGTTTGCTCGGTTTGACTTCCAAGTGTACCGTAGTTTATGTGCCTGGAGTTTCTATCAACTTTTGCCCAAGTAAGGAGAGAACTCACGCAAGAAGAGTCAGTCGCCAGCTTTGTCTCAGAAGGGTTTCCGAGGGCGTCGCGGTTCTGAGAAGTAGAGCTTGTCCCTCCGTCGCACAGGCTCGGCAGGGAAGTGGCCGCGGGGGAAGGTCGCACCACCGCGAGGGGTCGGGGCCGCTGCATTTCTCACCATTTCTGTTTCAGTTCTGACCGGCATCTTAGAAGACTTGGAATTGAGTCAGTAAAGATTCAGGTTAAGTGACCAACAAGGACGACGAAAAATGACCAGCAAAAGGAAAATAACAAAACCTTACCATCTGAACTTGGTGCTGATTGCTTTTCAGGTTTAATCATTTTTTTCTAGTGATGATGCGTATCAGAAATGTTTGAGTACGGTGTATTTCCCTGCCGTCTCTCCCAGGCTCTGGCCCACCCTCAGGTTCTCTCTGGGAAGTTTAATCTGGACTTCATGCTCCTTTGGGTATTTGTATGGTGTGAAACAAAAGGATGAGTGCTTTTTATGCGTATTATCTAGGGAGCTGTGGAATATTCTGGATTATGCACATGCGAATTCGGGAAGTAAATTGGCTTGGTGGAGTGGTTTTGTAGGTGTGTGGGCTGAGAGGTTGGATTTTGAGATGGGCCGAAGCAGCCTCGACTTTTTGCTGTAGAAGATGGCAAGATTGGGAGTTTAGGAGCCTTTAAAGAATTTAAGATGAGGTCGGCACCCTTTTCAAAAAGAAAAATTAGTGTTTTAAATTTGTTTTCCTGATTTGACATTGGCATATTTGAGAGGTATTTCTGGCTGCAGGACAGACTTACCCGGAGGGCTGGGTGGGGAGCATTGTTTGAGTGATATTCTGAAGACTGAATTATGGACAGGGAACGGCAATGTACTTGCAATTAAGTGGCATACAATAGCTTTTCTCTTTCAGCAAACCCATTATTTTTTGTAGGTGTAAGAATTAAGGGTAGAACGATTTTCTTCTGTATTCTGTTTTGGACAGTGTTAAACAAATCCAGTTGTTACAAATATAATACAATTCCCCATCATCAGTAGTTTTTAACCTAACAAACTCAAAAACCAGGTTTGGGGTGGGATGGCATATGCATACTTTTTAGTTTTAAAGAGGGCTCTTTAAAACTGAGTCATTTATTTAAAGATTTTGGGAGAGAGAGTGAGCGAAAGAGAAAGAGCACACAGGCAGAAGCAGACTCCCCTGCCGAGCAGGGAACCGGACCTGGAATTCGATCCCAGGACCCTGGGATCATGACCTGAGCAGAAGGCAGATAGTTAACCGACTGAGCCACCCAGGCGCCCTCAGTGAGTTATTTTAAATTCAGTTCTGCAGGGTTGCAGTGTAATGCTGACTGTGTCACCTTGGTGATGTTCCCTGTTACCTTCCACTGGTGGGCCTGCCTTATTAAAGGTCAGCTGCTGTGTTGGTTAATGGTTAAGGGTGATGACATGCCTTTTCTGATGTCTGTTGGTAAGGATCAGGTGAGTGGAATCAGCCTCTTTTTGTAAGTTGATATTTTGACAGGATATATAAAAACCTTTTTTTTTTTGCTTTTTTTCCCTATCTTGGAAATGAATCTAATTTAGGGTGGGGGTGGTCTATTAGAAATCTGGTTTGCTTTTAACTTGTCCAGAACACCACCTAGTGGTGAAATGGGCATAATTGCAGGTTGATGAGGGAATTAGGATGGGGACATTGGCAAGAATTAACAAATGCTGTCCTATCTTTGATAAATAGGATTTGTGAGAACTTCAAATTCAGGAGGTAAGTGAGAAGAACAGCAAGGTTGGTGAAGATAAGAACAGTGGTAGAAATGGTAATGTAGGAATGGAAGGACAATTGGTTGTAATCTCTACCCCCATTGTGACAAGGGACTTGAACTCCAACCCCAAGGTGATGAGTCACACGTTCTTACCAACTGAGTCAGCCAGGTGCCCGGGAAAGACCATTTAAAGCCTAATTGGAGAAAATGACTTAATGGGTAACTCAGCTTGGAGAACTGTGATGCTTTTATTATATATCGATTATAGGTGTTTTTCAAACTTGGTGTTTTTTTGGGGGGGGGGCGTACAAAATCACAGTTGACCGTTTTTGTTTTAATATCCTACATAAGTAAGTTTAAAAAATACCTATTATTTTTCTTACTATTTCTTTAAATACCTCACTTTTAGGTGGGGAAAATTAATTTTTGAAAAAAAAAATAAATAAAGGCAGGGGCTCCTGGCTGCGCTCCGTCAGTGCTGGGTGGTGCATGGGTCTCAGGGTTTTAAGTTGGAGTTCCATGTTGGGTCTAGAGATAAAAATCTTGAAAAAAAATTATAAAGCTAGTTAAAAGGGAGGTAAAAAGGTAGTTTTAAAAAAGTGGACAGGAGTCTATTTATACCTCTACTATCTTTTTTCAAAAGCTATTCCTTATTTGGGCATAGCTTGGTTTTTCTCTGAAAACTTTTACTCTCTGAACACTTGCAAGGAGTTTTGGCCACATCCTAAGTAAAAGACAGTAGCCACTTTGAGAGGCTGTGAGGCAATAGAACTGTAGGGTTTGTGGGTGTTTGGTTTTTTTTTTTTGGCGTGTATTGTTTATCAAAATGCTCCAGTTTTTTAGGGTTCCTAAGTTCAGTTGCAAGGATCAGTTGTATTTGGAAGGGTGATTTTTTTTTTTTTTCAGGTAGCATGTGATTTTTACCCTTTAAAATTCTCATTCTCCCTTTGACCACCAGAGGATTACAGGACCTCCCTGCGTGTTCTTCTAGGTCAGGCAGGCCTGGAATCCTCACTTCTCTGCTCCCTTTGTGCCTAAGGCATCGTCCCAGACCCACAGTGCTGAGAAAACCTTGTTGGGATGGGATACTTTGTGCTTTGTCTTTGTCCTCTTTACCCTTTTGTGATTAATAATGGAATCCAGACTTTAGGAAAGCTGGGGGCAAAAATACCCAGTTTGAGTTCACGAGTAGCAGGACTGGGTACTTGCCACGTGTTCTGTCTTATTTTAATGAAAGGTTAGCTGTGACTGTAAGTGTCTCATAGCTGATAATTACCGGTTTTGGCAATCACTGGTCTCAGGTCTTGAGTTCAGTGGAAGTAGCTTCCTTGTTTGTTTCAGGAATACGTGAGGGCATATTGGGTAACAAGATAGATACATAAGTAGATGCTTTGTGATGAGGAATGGCAAGTTCACTGTCGTGTGGGTGCCCCTCCCCCAGTATTTGTTACAGGAATTCCTTTTTTTTTTTTTTTAAGATTTTTATTCATTTGAGAGAGAGAGAATGAGAGACAGCACGAGAGGGGGGAGGGTCAGAGGGAGAAGCAGACTCCCTGCCGAGCAGGGAGCCCAATGTGGGACTCGATCCCGGGACTCCAGGGTCATGACCTGAGCCGAAGGCAGTCGCTTAACCGACTGAGCCACCCAGGCGCCCTGTTACGGGAATTCTTAGGTAATGAAATGACACACAGGGAACTTCTCTAGATTTCTTTTTCTTTTCTTTCTCTCTCTCCAGCTCCCTCTCTCCCTCTCTCTCTTTTTTCTTTCCCTCCCTCCCTCTTTAAAATTTTATTTGACAGAGCAGGCACAAGCAGGGGGAGGAGCAGAGGGGGAGGGAGAAGCGGACTCCCGCCTGAGCAGAGAGCCCTGAGCTGAGAGCCCGATGCGCGGCTCCATCCCAGGACCCTGAAGGCAGACGCTTATCCGGCTGAGCCACCCAGACGCCCCTGGATTTATTTATTTTTTACTAAATGTCTTGTGGGCTTTCATTTCTATTAAGCAAACGGTATTCCACTAAATTAGCTTAGTGCCACACAAAAATTAAACATTTAAAAAAAATGGTTTCTTGGGGCACCTGGGGTGGCTCAGTTGGTAGAACGTGTGACTCTTGATCTCGGGTTGGTTATAAGTTCAAACCCCATGTTGGGTGTAGATTACTTAAAAATAAAACCTTAAAAATGGTTTCTTTACAGTTATCCCTTTTCTGAGTTAATAGAAGTAATGAGTATTTTGATTTGCTGGGTTTTTAGGCTAAAGATAGGGAATATGTTCAGTGGCTAATACGATCTTTTGCTTGAATTCTGTTAAAATAATGTATAACGAGAGGCAGTCTGTGGGTGGATAAGAAGAAAAGGCGTTGTGCAAGAAGGAGGGTTTTCTCCCATTTTCAGTGTTGAGTCTCAGATTGGAAAGGAACAAAGGAGGTTTTTGTTTTTTTGCAGAGCAAGGTTTGTTAGATGTTAGGTGGAGAGAGAGGTATTTAAGAATAAAGTCTTGTGGAAAGAGGACCACTTCTGTCAGTAACATCTTATTTGGTGGGTGGCCAGCACCTTGGAGTGTGGAGGTGTCTTAAGTCGTATACCACGCTTGAGTACCTTGACTCGGGGATTGTAGACGTCTAAGGGTGATGTATTTATAGCAGTCACATTGGGCACATGTATTCTTGAGGTTTCCTTCTCCTTCACAAAGTAGTAAAAGCAAGGTTTCGTTACTGAAGGGGGCCAACTGAGCTGTGCAGAAAAGGGCTTTTTAGAGCTAAGTCATCCTGGAGCACCTTATATAGCTCATCAAATAACACTGATGTATTTATAGTCAAAGCTGATAGTAGAGAAGTTTCACGACGGGAGTACACAGAAGCTGAGCAGTGCCTCCTAAATCACATAAGGTCCTCTAGGTAAAGGTAATGTTAAGAGAGGGTTCTGGTTCCACGTTTTCTCTGAGACCAGCCTTCATGCTTCATCTTTTCCTGATCCCGCAGAGATATTTCTGTCTACAGCTTGTTTCTGGGGTAGGGGTGGGGTGGGCTGGGGAGGTGGTATTTGGAGGGGGTAGTAAATTTGTAAAGGTTTAGTGGTTTCCTTGGATATTTTGTTGTATGTAACTTACATCTTTGTTTTGGAGCAGGAGTGTTCTCTTGGTAGCTAGAGCTTTTCTTTTTCTGCGGATTGTTGCCTGCAGTTAATAAGGAGTATTTGATTCAGGGGGCTGTATTCTTAGAAATTGTCCGTGTATTCAGAGAAAAATGAGGTGGTTAAATTGGTCAGAGGAAGTCTTAAAGTGAATAAGGTGAGTTTTTGAAGGTAACCAAGAGGTTTGGGAGCCCGTAGAGTACCTTTCTGGTACTTTTTCAATGATACACAGGAATAGAAGTTGGTAAAGGCAGTTTGGATGGGAAATCTATG